TTTCGTTAATACTAAGGGGGGTTGCCTTATATCACAGAAGTGGGGAGAAACCCTTTAATCCCACAATCCTGGTTTTTTAGTGTGGCTTTTTTCGGGTTTAGCGGTTTTAGGGTTTAGGGTTTAAAGGGTGTAGGGATTGTAGGGTTCAGGGATTGTAGGGTGTTGGAACTTAGGGTTTTTAGGGTTTAGGGTTTTTAGGGTTTAGCGTTTTTAGGGATTAATTGGTATGAAACGAGGCGATTCGACCGGTATGGAACGAGTGCTCGCCCAATAAAAATCGGTGCTGGAGCCACGGTGGAGGGTGCGCTAATATATACACGCATGTCCATATCCGGTCGCGCGCCGATGTCCTGCTGAGGGGGATATCGGAGAGGCGGGATATCGGCGCGCGCGCTGATATCCGCGTTGGAGGGCAGGATATCGGTGCGCGTGTCCGATATCCGCATCCTGAGGAGGGGGAGTGGAGATATCGACATCCAGCCGCGCTCCGATGTGCTGCTGAGGGGGGCGGGCGGGGGAAAGGGGGATATCGGCGCGCGCCGATATCCGCGCGCGCCGATTTCGGAGAAAAAAATATCGATGCGCGCGCCGATATCCGTGCGCGCCGATATTCTGAGGAGGGATATCGATGTGTCGGTGTATCGGTTTCAGCACGAAATGGAAATCCGTAATGCCCTCAAAATATTTCTAATTAATTGATATTTGTGTTTTTTTATATTGCTCTTTTAAGACTTCTTATTTTTTGCATTATAATTTGAATAATTTAGTTCTTAATAATATTTAGTTTGATTGGATTTTGATATAATTTCGTTTTTATATAATTAATTATCTAAATATATAGGATTTTGCTATAGTGTTTGGCCTTGAAAGATCGTTATATTAATCGGCTTAAAGTAGGCTTATTTGGATTTACTTGCCAGACATAATTATAATTTTAGTTTTTGTTTTAAGAATCGCGCTAATTACGCTAGGGTTTCGAGGCAAAGAAATATATCGAATTGTTTCTAATTACAAATCTCGTAATAAAATTGAAAACCTTTAAAATTCAATGAAATTTTGGGGTTATTATAATATATATTTGTAGGAGAATTTTCTGTTTTATAATATTTTACGAAATATTTGCGAAATAATTAGGTTCGTCTGAGGCATTTCTAGATATATCATTGGGGTGCACTTAGGCAATGTGCCTATATAATGGCATGTTGCAATAGTTTTAGAAGGGTAAATTTCCATGTCAACTTTGCCGCACAAACTAAATTTACCTTCCACATAGCCTCGCTATCAAATCACTCTACATAAATACTATAACAACATTTTATCGATAGGTAAGCCATAAGAATATCGGAGCTAATATCTTAGCTACAAGAAACAACGACGAGACGATGATTGCCTATAATTCCTTCTAAGGACATACCTTATAATAACATATTTTTGCGCCGTCGTATGCCATATTTCTCTCTATTAACATATTCTTTATTTCGACCTATAAATTATTATCGGATTATGTTTCTCAAATTAAAATAATTTATAATTAATTAATATATATATATCTTCTTATATTCAACTCAAATTAAAATAAATATTGCAAATACAACAAAGGTAAATTATATTTATTAAATATTTAATATATTATTTTATATAAATATTTTTTTGCCATAAGTTATTTTTAATTTTATCAACTATATTATTATATATTTATAATTTTTAATATTTATAAAATTAAATGTAATACTATAAATAAATAAACATATAAAAATATCTATTTTAAATACATTAATTTAATTATATTATATCTAATTTATAAAATATATATATATATATATAATTATTTACAATATATATTAAACATTATTTATTTTTTAAAAATATATTTTATTTTTAAAATAATAATTCAAATAAATTTTAATATATAAATTAAATATAATATTATTATTCTAATTATATTTTTAAATTATTATATAAATGTATCAATATTTTATTTACAAATAACAATTTTAATCATTATATTCTTATTCCCTTTTTTCTTTTTCTTTTACCTAAAAATAATTCAAATATATTAATATAAATCAAATTTATAAAACTAATATATAATTTAATTCTATTATTATTTTAATTTTAATATATTTCCATATTTCCTCAAATTAATATATCAAAATACCTATCCCAAATTTCTACCAAATAAATACAACAAAAACCAACCATCTCAAATATAACAAATACCTTAAATTCTTCCATCAATAAAAACCCCTACAAATTCAAGAAAAAAATAAAATGTACCATTTATTAATTTAAATAATCATTTCCAATCAATTATTAATATATATATATAAATATGGTACTCCCCCCCCCAATACCCAGGTATTGTTATATTATATATTAAAATCATTAATATTTATAATGTATTTTAATTAAATTTATGTATTTTTCGCAAAGCCATTTTGTGGACTAAAAAAACCAAAACATCAAAAAACCAATCCTAGCCCCCACCATGGCTGGGATTCTTTGGTTTTTTGGTCCAGGGAAATATTATATAACAAATTCCAAATATTGCATAACATTTGTTGTTCATGTCTATATCCTAACCATAAGAAAATTAGAGAAATCCCGCCTTCATCTCCCATCTGTCCCTTTCCTTTCTGTTGTTTAAGGATGATATGCTATGCAGTAAAAGATAAGAGGATATAAAAGGTAAATGACATGAAAAATAGAGAATTAATGGGAAGAAAGAAGGAATGAATTCTTAATTATTGACCGCAAATCTTTTATTGCTTCTGGATGAGTCTTTCGATAGCAATTATTTTCCTTTTACCTCGTGCTCTAGGATCCTGGAGATTACAATGAATAAAATGGAGATAATGGGATCTGATGAACCTTTCTGTAATAGTAGTTCATCTCTAAGATTAATAGTGTACGAAAGGAAAAGAAAAGGTTAACCGCTATGACGAAGAGATAAGGAATGAGATAGCAAGGAATATCAGATGGGATTTAATGGATTAGCGAAGGGATGAGCCAAGACGTAGGAAAAGATGAAATGACAATGAGCGGGAATCTTCATTGGCAGACAATCTTTTTTTCTTTCCTATTTCCTCGCTGTCAAGAACTCTTGGTTATAGATAGTGAGGGATAAGATGTAAATAGGAGACGGAAGTAACCAAAAGAAAGAGATAAATGGGAAAGGTTAACCACTATAACGAAGAGATGACTATGACGAAGAGATGAGGAATAAAGCGGTTATACTGAAGGAGCGGGTGAACGAAAGCTAGCAGTTGCTGCATGAGATGGGTCGGTGACAGAGTGGATTCATAGGTAGCTTGTGTACAACGAAAGGCCCGGCAAGATTCGTAGGAGGCGACACGCAAACGCACATGGTGGCGTGGCAAACCTTGAAAAATGAAAACAACGAGAAGCGTCAGAAGCTGTCTTAAAGCATTTCTGGGTTCTGCATGCTGCGTGTGCAAAGATTCTTGCGAGGTGGTTTACTAAGAAGATTGAGGTCTCAAATGAACAAGCTGAATCGGTAGAACATGTAAAAGTTCGTAGCACCAAATCCAAAACGAGCAAACCGAGAGTGCTTAAACACTAAGCCACTGCCCGGGGGGAGGGGTGGACCAAGGAGGAATCGAGCCTAAGACGGGGAAGGGGGGGAGGGGGGTTCAAATAATTGATGTTTTTTTCAATCTTTTCGGCTCAAAATATTGAAAAAAAAAAAATCAATCTTTCGGCAATTGAGCCCCTTACCTTGCTTACGCAAGGAGAAATTTCAGCTAGCTAAAGCTAACTTTCGTGATATCTTTCCTATGCCTTTCCTTTTTAGGTCCCGTTCAGCATATTCTTTCGTCCATAATATTCCTCTCTTCATCGGTTCTTTCTTGGATAATTTCTTCCTTAGCAGTCAATAATCAAGAATTCTTAGTTATAGACGATTATCTATAAAATCCTTGTTATCTGGAAAGGAAAGACAAATAAATAAGATGTAAGCGAATGAACGATGGAAGGGAATGAATCTTTTCTTTTTCCCATTCCCATTCCTCTTTTCGTTCAGGAATATCTATAAAAAGAATTGGCCAACGAATGGTAAAGATAAATAATAAAAATATAAAGAATTAATAATAAATAATAAACAAATAAAAAAATAAATAACCATAAAAATTATATAAAATGTCAATAATAAATCTATTTATATCTAAGGTAAAAGGAAAAAGATTATTATAAACAAGAGATTTATTATTTATCTTCAATATCCTTCCCTCTCTCTCTTTCCATTCCATCATAAATCTTTCAGAATAACAAGAACTCCATAAATTAAATGGAGTGAGATAATAAAACGAGAAAGAACGATTAGACAAAAGAATGCTCATTATGTGTATAATGTTCACCCATTAACAAATTACCGCGAGCGAAAACAACGAGAAAATGGGTGTAAAAAAAAAAAAAACCTCTAAAATCCAATTTGTTTCCATTTCCCTTTAATTCCCTTTATCTATATCTTAGAATTAACAAGAGAGGAACATAATAAATAATAACCAAGAAAAAAAAATCAAAAAATCATATTTTCCCATTCATCTCTTACTCTTTATATCTCATCCCTCATCATCTATATTCAAGAATTCTTAACCATCAATTACCATAACTTTCCCAACCAAGAAACAACTATTTAAAAAAACAAAAATCAAATATACTAATTATAAATAAACCCAAACCTAAATACCTAAAAGAGAGGCAAACAACATAAATATATAATATTTCAATATTATATTCTTAATATTATAAAACATCACATTATTTATAAAACAATAATATATTTGTTTAATTAGATATATTCAATTTATTATTATATCTATATATATATAATAAACAATATATATTGTAAATATTAAATATCTAAATATATCTTTTTACAATTCAATATATTGTTTTTCATTAATACTCCTCAGAGTATAGAATAGGATGCAATCCCCAAAGGCGAGTGTCCATCGATCTGCTTGCTTGTGTTGCATGGCTTAATTGAATTTCTCTTGTACAAAGCAGCGAGGCCGCTTTGGGTCGGACAGGAATACCTTCTCAGCCTCCTTTGTGTGGAACTCTGAGCGGACTCTCTCAGCCATCTCAAGATGAACTCGAAAGATATGCTTGCGAACGTAAGCAGGACCCCTGAAGCATCTGTTGCACAGCTTGCAGCGGAATTTCTCCTCCGCGACTTGCAGGATATGCTCTTTGCAAGCACCTGAAAAGCACTCGCTGACCTCAGCATCACTCGACTTCACCAGCTGAGGGCGAGCCAAGGAAGCGGTGGCCAAGAAGTCACTGATGCGCTTTGCATGCGAAGTGGACCATGATGTCTCCAGGGTGGCATCCTGTGAATGATCTCGCACCGCAACGACCCCGCAAGAGTCGCGCAGGCTCCACTCATCTTGGAACCATTCCCCAGCATAGAAGCAGAAGTGGTGCACCCGGCGGAGGTAGATCACCTGCAAGTCCAACTTCTGCTCGGTGGAGCCTTTAGAGTCCAGCACAGAAGAGGTCACTCCTTCCGGAATTTGAAGCAAATCATCCAAGTGGTGGATCACTTTGGCCGAAAGGACCAGGTCTTTCTCAAGCCTCTCTTTGCTTGCCATCTCAGGAGGCAGCACCAATGCACTGAGCTCTGGCGACGGAGTGAGGGCGGACACCCTTGGCGCTTCTGACGTCAGCCCTTTGGCACATAGAAGCGTGTCCGACTGCTTGCTCACAAACATGGATGCTGATGTAGCCTGCTTGGCATTCAAAAAGCGGGCCTTGAAGGTCCGGTTGATCTCCTTCTTCGACGATGGCAGTGCCCAAGTGGCAGTCACGAAGCCACTGCAGTCCTGGATGGCATCGAAGACATCCCAAGCGCTCGCGGCAGGCGGCAGCCCGCTGATCAGCATCGACCCCACGTCCGGATCAAATGCGAACTCTGGGGCCTGCATGTGCCCAGCAACGGAGCAAGCAGCTCCATACCGATTGCCGCTGGCACGCAGCGACAAGCCCTTGTAGCAGCCGTGCTGCATGTCCTGCTGAAATTGCTGTGCATTCAGCTGACTGCAGCGAAGGCGGGAGTCATATGCACGCAATTGTGCCACTGGATTATACATGTCAAACAACAAGCCAGTGCCTTTCAAGAAAGCAAGTTCCTTTTGAGTCACCTCATCAAGGTAACGTTGAAAAGCTGCCAGCGCTTCATGTGCTTCGAGCCCATCCCCATGTTGCAAGATGTACTCCCGGAAGCTCAAGGGTTGACACTCCATGGCTTGCTCAACTGGGCTTGTCTTCGCCCTCTTGGCTTCCTTCCTGCTGTCCTCAGAGTCCTCAAAGTCCCTGGCAAGTACACCCTTCTTGGGGGCTCTGCTCAATGGCGACCGCGACCTCGATGGGCTTTGGCAGCGGGAAGGGCTTCGCATGCGGGACGGAGTTCGAGCCCGGCGGAGCCCATTTCCTTTGCCGCCGGCCTTGCCTTTGGGCCGTTCATCCATCTTCCGGCCATGTGGATGCCCGAACCAACAGTCCTTGCGGCTGCAGTCCCGCCCATACCAGCATACTGTCAAATGGCGCTTGGTGAGCGGCTGCCTGTGAATATTCGCTCGAGAGCCACTTCTAAAAGGCACCTGAAGGGGGGAGAAAGAGCGGCTATCAGTCCTCCTGGCCTTGCGATCCTCCTCCTTCCCGGGTGATGCACTCTGCTGTGTAGCCTTGGAAGCCTTCTGGGGGCTTGCTATGTTGCCAGCTGACTCGTCGGAGCTTTCGGAGGTCGCATTTTCAGCTTCCTGTGGTTGGCGGGTGATGTGTGTCATGGCTTGCACTAGGATCTTCCGTCCCAGGCCTTGGGCCAAGCTGAAATGCAGAAGAAAAGCACCATTTGCCATGCACATGGCGTGAACCCATGTGCAAAATACACGCATTGAACCATCGCACGCTTGTCTCACCATGATGCGTGCTGTACTGCTCTGAGTGCTGCGACGACCCTTTTTCAGCTGATGAGCCACCTTCGACCAGCTACAGTGTACACTGAATCGTTGCATTTCTCTCGCCAAGTCAAAGGCAATGCCCAGCTGTCCCCGGTGTGAGGACCATTGCCTCAAATCAGGCCAACACCACTTGTAATGAACGCGAGACAAGGCTGAGGTTGGCATAAGGATGCTTCGCAGCATGACAAGAGCCTAACGCATCCAGCCAAAACCAGTAACAGTTTCTGAGCCCTGATCTATGTTGGCCAAAACACAAAAACACGTCTCAATCGAAGAGCTCGCCAGGACAACCCAGCTCAGGAGTGACTCCCAACGCCCGAGCCATCCCTGGAGGAAACGGTCTTCAAATGGGCTCCAGAATCGCCGCTGGGGCAAAGCCCAACGGGAAACAACTTGTAAATCGCCAGTTGCTGTTTTTTTTCCATGCACTTTACCCCCAAGACCAGCAACAGTGACTGAAAAAAGCAGCAAGTTGGCTATCTAGGAAGTATCGCTTACGATTCGGAGTCCCAAAGCTGGTTGAAAGCAGTTTTTCCCGCCCTTTGGACGCCTTTCTTGATTTTTTCTTGGTGGGGTTTGGCACATGAGCAAACCCGCACTTTCAGGTGGCCAAACATATTTCCAGTAAGGTAGCCGAAAAAAAAAAAAAAAAAAACCATCCGCTCCGAAGAGTGAGGTTGCCACCTGCCTTCATGGGCTTCGTCACAAACTTGGAGCCGAACTCCAGATCCTCAGCTGGCTATTGCTGGCGGGCCGAACAGCCGAACCTGACGTTCGAGGGGTCCTGGAAGACCACGTTCCCTTGTATGGACCCCTGAACGTCAGGTTCCATGTGAATTGGTGGGAGGGGGGTCAGGAGAAATCAAAACGGTCCATCCGCGTTCGGTGTCCTCTGAAGAAACATTGGCGATTGTAGGCGATTTGCGCCAAGCAAGGTGCTGGCTCTTGGCTTCCAGCCGCGCCACGCGCAAAGAATGGTCGTTGGCACAGAACTGAGAACTCACCTGCCCCAAAAAGCTGCAACTTAGCGTATTTGTATTTTGGAGTTCATGTGGGTCCCCCCAAGAAAAAACACACACACACACACACACACGGCTTCGCTGCCGCGAAGTCGAGGGCAACCTCTTACGTTGCAGATCCACTCCGACTGGGCAAGGCAAACCTCGTGACCCGTGGCGCGTGACTCCGTGTGCAAAATGCCTTGGCGCGCGTGATGCGAGTCAGCCTTCGCCATCCACGTGGGCCCGAAGTCCCCTCTTTTGTGGAAGCCCCCCCCACAGTTCCGTCGGAGTGCCATCAACAGGTGGGTCTCTGTGGGGCAAATGATGCAGTTGAAACCCTTCTGCGTCCAGCTTGCCTTCAAACAGGAAGATGCCTTTAGGAACCGTCGCAGGTAGCATCACTCGACAGACTGCGAGAATCGGAGCGTGGTCAGCCAACATGAAACAGATTGTGCAAATTCCTTTCAAGACATGTATATATATATATAGATATATAATTTCCATTCACCTCAAGCTTTGGGGAGCTGCCGATTCTACTTGCAATGTACAAGGTCTCCGACTCAACATGACCCTCTTAAGGTCTGCAGGCATGTTTGCAGCCAAGTGCCCCCCATTCTGAACCAATCTTGTTCTGTCTGATCACACTTCACCATCCTTGCTTGTTGCCTATTTGCGGGAATGAGATGCTGCTGTGTATTCTCCGACCCTCTGCAACAAGCCAGTCTTGGTATCCTTGCCCCCCCCCCAACATCCACAAGACATGGCTCAGGCATGGCAGAGATTGTAGAACCTCGGACGGGGGGCATTTGGGCCCAAACTGCGTAGCGCAGGCATGCCAGGCTGCCAGTAAGCTTCAAAGTAAGTATATGCTTGTGCATGAGATCTCGACAGGTTTGTGTGAGATTTCGATATTTTTGTTTGTCAAAATCAATATGTAATTTGAAAAGTATGTTTCACAGTCGGCCAATGTTGCTTCATGGTTGAATGATCACGTACTTTCAACAAACTAAATGAGCAAACTGCAGTCGTCTATGTGCTTGCCATTTTGCATTATTATGTCCTCAAATATGTTAACAAAGACCACTACCACCAAGGAAACCCACCGATCCAGCAAACTAATAGTGACGCGTTGAACGTGATCAAACACAGCCGCATCTTGGTGCGAAACTGCATGATCCTCAACGTCCGAAACACAAAAGACAACAACAACATGGCGAGTAGACCACCATGATTGATGCATTCAATCATTGAATCATGCTGACATCCAATGATTCCAAGCTACAAATTTGGACACCTTTGCAACTTCCCAAGGCCGTATATGGAAATCCAACCAAAACACAACACATATTACCACCGATTGTTCCAAAATCTATATGTCCAAACGAATAAAAGCCCTGGTAGGCCTCCGAACATTATTGACTTACCGCTTTGTACCAGGATTCCAAGATTTGGTCAATGTCGGCTTTTTCCCCAAAGCTCATGTCCAACCACCAAGCAGCACGCAAATATATCCTTTCTGATCTGCTGCATGACTGAAACTAGACCTGCAAATTGTTTGCACACAACCCCAACATATTCATCATCAATTTGCCTACCACGAGTTAACAAGAGGTACATGCGCGCAATGGAATCTTATATATGCATGCATAAAATCAAAGGCACAGACTCATATTGAAATACTTGCACGTGAGCACGAATACGTGAACCCACACATGTACACACGGCCGCTGATTCACATATTCACATGCACACGGTCTCTGCTAAACACGGGCACATGTGCTATACAACTGGACACACAAACACATGTACGCATGTATCCGCATGTAGACACATGTTGACGCATGTAGACACATGTAGACGCATGTAGACGCATGTAGACGCATGTAGACGCATGTAGACGCATGAAAACGCATGTGCGGAACATCACACACACACATGCAATTACATGTGTCACCTGAGTAGAACTACCGATATTCTCATGTATACATAAACGTCTACAAATACATACGTTCGCACCAAAGACATACATATATCATCCACCGACTGTGAAAAAAACAAAAGGATGCCAAACGCAAAACCCGAAGCGGAGATAGCGTCAGAAAGTGCAAAGTATGGGCAATGGTGAGTTCTCTCACTTGTGAGGAGGGGTGAGACACGACATGGTCCGCGCCTGGCTAAACCAAACATATCAGCAGCCAAGATGAAAGCATGAGCGTGAGATCAGGAGCTATGTTTGCCATCTCCCCACGTCAAGAGGACGGATCCCCCATGCGAATTCTGACCATCCCCAGGAGAACACCCTATAGCATGACCGATCCACCTCCAGGCTTGGGCCACGCATGGCAAAATATGGTATGCAAAAGTCCTGCAAGACCAAAACGAGCAACGCCCCGACCCCCCAAAGCAGTCAGGCTCCAAAAAGCACACTGCTTTCCCAGTACATACATGTTCATACATTGCGTACTTGAAACATACACTGCGAACATTGGGTACAGTGCGCTGCACACAACACATGCATCACATACATGACATACATTACACACATGGCCCGCATGACATACAGTGGCAAGCATGACATACATTGGCATGCGTGACATACATTGGTATGCACGACGTACATTGGCATGCGACATACATTGGCATGCATGGCATTGAGGATTCCCTAAGCAACGGGCTTTCAAATACATCCAGTCATGTGCACAAATGCATCAATGCATTCATATATGTATACTCTATCACATGAGATACCATATCACAACACAAACGCACACAAACTCACATGGTAACCTATCATAACGTTGGAGTACATCACAGTACATCATATCTCATCGCGTGACATCATGTTGCATTGCATTATATTACCTTGTCATAAACGACAATACACTATTATTAAAAAACACACACACACACACACTACACCTCACAGCTTGACAGCACATAAACCGACTGCACACAACATCACATTGTACACCACCATGTCATACTACTTTGCATAATCTGCACTATGTTGTGCCGTTTTGCCTGGCATCGCATTGCTTCGCATTTGCATCGCATCGCATTACTTCGCCTTGCACGATGTTCTGGTGTGGAGTGACCGGAATACACTATTTAACGCACGCATCTACTTGCTAGCAACGCCGCTATTTTGCCGATCGAACATATATCTACATATGCGCTTTAGCATATACATGTGAATAGACAAATGAAATGCTTATAGAAATATACCTGTAAAATCATAACACAAATATATATATATATACATATATATCCGCCGACCCCTCGCTAAAGAGGGGAGGCGCACGGGAAGGGTGGCTGGCGCATGAGCATAACCGAAGATTCATTCATCCTCATCAGCATCATCATCAATACTTATCATGATAGTCGTTATCCTTATCATTATGATCCGTATGATCATCATGATCTCTGATTCTGCAGCATTGGTAACGCAGAGGGTGCTACGATGATAATTATGATGACAGTCATGGGCAGCTTTGGTACTGTAGAGGGTGCTACGATGATAGTTATCATCAGAGTCATCATCCTGATCATCACCCTTATCATCATCATCATGATGGTCATCATCCTCCTTCATCTTCATGATGGTCATCATCATCACGGTGCTCAGCCGATTTGAGATGCAGAAGGGTGGCTGGCGCATGAGCATAACCAAAGATTCATCCTCATCAGCATCATCATCAATACTTATCATGACAGTCGTTATCCTTATCATTATTATCCGTATGATCATCATGATCTCTGATTCTGCAGCATTGGTAATGCAGAGGGCGCTACGATGATAGTTTTGATGACAGTCATGGGCAGCTTTGGTACTGTAGAGGGTGCTACGATGATAGTTATCATCAGAGTCATCATCCTGATCATCACCCTTATCATCATCATCATGATGGTCATCATCCTCCTTCATCTTCATGATGGTAATCATCATCACGGTGCTCAGCCGATTTGAGATGCAGAATCATCAGAGTCATCACCGTCATCATCGTCATCATGATTGTCATCATCATCTCTTTCTTCTATACATTTCAAATGTGG